TTTAAAGAAGATAGGACTACATGTAATAAACGTGCGATAGAAAAGAACGTCCTAACCTTCCTATAGGATAAGTTACCTCTAGGTCTTTACAAAGAATGTAAACCCACGAGTCTATATTTTATATTGCTTATTATTGTTGTACAATAGGTATTATAATATTATTACATACAATTGTTCAATCGTTCCCTCGAAAATATACTTATAGCTCGAAGTGAGAATAAATTACACCTAAGGTTAGTAATAATCACACATATGTATTAAGAAAAACACGTGATATGTAATATACAGAGTGTCCCAAAAGTGTTGTAACACCTTGAAAGGAGTGGTTCGGGAGGTGATTTGAAACAACTTTTTCCTTAGTAAAAATGTTGTCCGAGGCTTCGTTGAGGAGATATTAACGGAAAACACTGATCAATCAGAGCGCGCGTATACCGTTGGAGCGGCCGGTATACGCGCGCTCTGATTGATCAGTGTTTTCTGTTAATATGTCCTCAACGAAGCCTCGGACAACATTTTCGCTAAGGAAAAAGTTGTTTCAAATCACCTCCAGAACCACCCATTTCAAGGTGTTACAACATTTTTGGGACACCTGTAGAATTCCTAGGTAGCTAAGTATAAAATGAAAAATATCATAGAGGATAAGGTACAGAAATGGTCAAATCTATGTATTTTTGTTAGACAGTAAACATAGAGCACCCCATGCACTGTAATAAATATATTAATTGTGGGGACGCGCCTTAAGGCTCTATCCACACGCCTTCGCTTTCCTCTCGGTATTGTGAGAGGGGAGTACGCCCTGCGCGGGTTTTGCTGGGAAGCCCAGAGCTTTGTGAACCTTTGTAGAGAGTAGGAAGTAAGGAAAAGAGAGTTATCCTGAATACTGCAAAATCGTTATTTACACCATCCTTCCACGGCTGATCTATCAGGAGTGGGCCTGAACACAGATCCATTATCTGTGATTACCCCACATAATTAGCACCATTGGTGGCATCGGTGAGAAAGCGGCCAAGTTTTTAATGAAAATAATTTCCATCATTTTTGTAAGATAGCGCCACCGATACCTTTTAATCAATAATTCATTATTTTTCATAACGGTACAATAAATACGATTTGTTGCTTTATAACACTATCATATATTATTTTAATATATTTTTTAAACATTTATCTGCTTTCACATATGTAAATGTAACAATAACTGTGAACCCTTTAGCATTGAGCTCTCAATGGGTGATCCTTCAATTTTTCAGACTGTATCGCATATTTGACCATCGATGACAAAAAAATCTGATACGTCCGGTCTTTTGCACAGTTAAGGGGTAGTTTCACGTCACAAAAAAGTGAACAATTGAATGATTTCATGACTTTCCATGAAGTGGCATCATGTTTTCTAGAAAATGGTTAATATGCAATTCTTGGGATCCTTTTTAAATCAACTTAATACGGTTAAAAAAGAACCTCATTGAATTGGCAACTGGGGGCACTAAACGTCCTGAAAGAAAATTGTCTTAGCTTTCCAAAACACTCGTGAAAAATTATCTACGATCATGCGTTCGCAAGTTATAGGCGTTCAAAGTAAAAAGTTCCTTTTCTGTTTAGATAGCGAATAACTCGGTCAATAAAAATCATATAACAAAACCAAAAAAACGAAATTAAAGAGGAATGTTTGCTCTATAAGAGCCTTTCATTGGGTTTATCTGAACAAATTTTGTTTAGCCTGTGCATACAGCCAAACTAGACAAAAATTTCTGAAACTTCGTTTCTTGCGCTTCATCTCGATAAAACAGTATTATAATCAACGACGAAAAGAAATGAGTCCATGATTCAAAAACTAGAAACTTCAAAATTTAAAATGCGTTTTTTAAATATTTTTTGCGATTATTTTTCGCAGAGATACAGCCATTCGAAAATGACAAAAATTTGCATATATGCTTGGAATCGACATATGACATATAGCTATCATTCGCGACAATTGACCGACTTGAACCCTCAGGGGCTGTAGCGGTGTTTGTAGCTACAGTACGGGCTTAGCAACCCCGAGGTACCCGAGCTAAGGGGGCCAGCGGGCCCCTATAGATGAGAAGTAAGAGATACTGCAAACAGTATTAAAATAATTCAGGAGTCAATGTAAGAAGATGATAAAAAGAATGGAAATAAGCTAGTAAGAAGTAAGCAGTAGTGCAATAACTTTGTAGAATAAGTTACGCACATAAATGAATGAATGTGTGGGGACTTTCCCCTACGCTTGGTCAGGCTGGCGTTACTGTCGCATCGGCGTGGGGTTTTTCTAGAGTTTGGCGAGTGTGCGACATTCGAGCGTGCAATTGATATAGACCAGAGACGCTTCGTCTTACGAGCCGTTACGTGCGAAGTTAATACCTGCAAAACTAGTGTTATTATAGTATTAAATAAACCAACCACCGTTCAGAAGTTATACGTCTATCACGCATACTATTATTAGTAAACCAATTCCCACAAATGAATTGACCGACTAGCCATCTAAAGGCCAACCACCCGAAGCTCGAGTGCGTGTATAAGGAAGAGAAAGGAATATGTAAACAAGGATAGGGCGAGGGTGATGGAAACAGAGAGAAAACTACATGAAAGACAAGGATAGCGACACTCCACAATAATTTTCTGACTTTCCAATGATGATTCATGCACTTTTGGAATTGTGTTGTCAAGTATAGATCACTAGCACATTCAAGGACCATTAGCGATTCGATTTTCATTGTTATTAAGTAATAAATAATCAATGAGTGCTAGGTAAGATGAACTCGACTCGGCACGGATCGTTGACACCTCGCATTAATCGATTGTTTGTTAACAATCCGTAAACAATTGAAGTACTTTGACATGTACTGAATGAAGTCTGGATCTGTAGCAACATTAAAGGACCACTTTCGATACGATTCTGATTGTTATTAAGTAATAATAAACGATTTTTAGTTGACGTATTGAATTTTGGTCGACTGACTGGTATCCAGTGTGTGAGTGCGAGAGAGTGCGAAGCATTTGCGACAAGGATAGCGACTATTTAGTGGCGCCATCTACTAACAGAACGCTCAAGTTTGTCGTAAAATAGTTCCACCGTTTCACCGTTAGATAACGCTGGCTGTTTAAACAAAAAAAATTATTAAAAATCGAAAATCTTATTACAGGCCAATTTTTAAAAATGATTGATAATGTCTATTAACATTCGGTGGAGTGTCGCTATCCTTGTCTTTCATGTACCTTTCTCTCCGCTTCCATTACCCTTGCTCTATCCTTGTCTTTCATGTTCCTTTCTCCCTTTTTCACACGCTCTCTCTATCCTTGTCTCATATATTCCTTTCTCTTTCTTCCACACGCATTCGAGCTTCGGGTGGTGGTTGGCCGCTAGATGGCGAGTTGGCCAATTTTCACGAATGATAGCTATATGTCATATGTCGATTCCAAGCATATATGCAAATTTTTGTCATTTTCGAATGGCTGTATCTCTGCGAAAAATGATCGCAAAACATATTTAAAAAACGCATTTTAAATTTTGAAGTTTCTAGTTTTTGAATCATGGACTCATTTCTTTTCGTCGTTGATTATAATACTGTTTTATCGAGATGAAGCGCAAGAAACGAAGTTTCAGAAATTTTTGTCTAGTTTGGCTGTATGCACAGGCTAAACAAAATTTGTTCAGATAAACCCAATGAAAGGCTCTTATAGAGCAAACATTCCTCTTTAATTTCGTTTTTTTGGTTTTGTTATATGATTTTTATTGACCGAGTTATTCGCTATCTAAACAGAAAAGGAACTTTTTACTTTGAACGCCTATAACTTGCGAACGCATGATCGTAGATAATTTTTCACGAGTGTTTTGGAAAGCTAAGACAATTTTCTTTCAGGACGTTTAGTGCCCCCAGTTGCCAATTCAATGAGGTTCTTTTTTAACCGTATTAAGTTGATTTAAAAAGGATCCCAAGAATTGCATATTTACCCCGAAATAAAAAGTGCATTACGATCTACAGTCTACTACTTACCTCGTGCCTTTTGTGCTAGTAATTTTGAAATTCTATTCTGAATTTTCGCTAAAAAATACAATTAGTATTATATTATATAAACACATCTATAGTAATGTCAGTGTATGATCTATGTAATCCTAACAATTAAAATGTCAGTTTCTATTCCGTTTGTAACAAATACAAGTGAATAAGAAATTGATAAAATTTCTCAAAATAGATTTCCCATTCGGTATGATAGTGAGACATTTCGATGAAGAGGCGATGGGGATGGTCGCAGATGTCCAGATAAATCCTCAAGAAGGGAGCAGTTATGAAGGGCTAAAGAACGCATTAATTGAAAGGTTCACAGAGTCCAAGGAAAAAAATCACTTTTTCTAATATTTTTTTGTGCATATGGTTTCGATTCAGTTTTCTAAACAGGTATGGCCCGGTTCGTTTTTGTTTCACTATCCTCGTCCTTCTCCCTTATAGTGTGTTTACACGCTCAAGCTATTTGCACAAATCGGCTTGCACTAGTGATGGGCATAATCGACTGAAAACTATCGACAAGTCGATAGTAGCAGTAAGCCATGTTATTGTATATAGTTCGCGAAAAATTCGCGATTGAACAAAATGTTAACTAAACTGATTAAATTAAAATTCATCGATGTACTCTCGACGCCGAAAAGAACGTACATTTTGTTCCATTTATTATTATTTATTACGAGTCAAGGGCTGAGTGGCTAGCGCAATAATCGCAAAGTTTACATCCCTCGGAAGGAGCATGCCGCAGCATCTAACATTGGCGATGACGTAAACAATGACTGTCCTTTTCCTCGCAACATTCGCGCCCGTTTTCCTTCTCCCGCTTTATTCTTGCTACCCCTTTTTCCTTAGACTTCTGCTGCTAGCGATGGGTTCGAGTTGCAACGAATAAAAATACATTACAATGTATTCACATTGTTCAAAAGTTTCCTCTCTGTGTTGCGCATGCTCGAAAACTAACGCGAGATTGGGCGATTCGACGATGACATCTCTTCAACAGTCACTCTTCTTCGTCTCAAAATTATACACAACCAGTACCACCATTACTTCTTACCGCCCTTCATTAACCGACTTCGAAAAGGAGGAGGTTACTCATTTCGACATGTATTTTTTTTATTTATTTATTTTTTGTTACTCGATTACGCCGAGACGGCTTGACCAATCGGAATGAAACCTATTGCATCTTGTAGAGCATGTCTTCGCGGTGGTCCCATTACCAACAAATTTTGAGATTTCTCATTTTTTACCGGTTTTTTTTTTGCAAAAAACCAAAAAATTTTGTATTGCTTCTTATTCCGAAACGAATTGACCAATCGGATTGAATCTTCTTGCATCTGGTAGGGCTTCGTTGCCTCTTAAAAGCTTAAAAAGACATTTGACCTACTTCCATTTTTTATCACTTTATCGCACTTTTTATCGAAAATTGGACTATTTCACGTATGCTCGGCCTGAATTCGATGAAATCGATGTTACCCTTTACATTTTGTTGCCGGACTCGTTTTCGAGGTGATCACTTTGCAAAAATGATTTTTCTTATTATTTATAACTATTCTTATTGCAAAATTCCTATTTTTTATGAAACGTTTTCTTTTGCTTTTTTTTTTTTAATGTATGTTAAATTTCTACGCCCACACGGCTTGACCGATTGGGATAAAACCTTTTGAATCTTGGAGAGCATGTCTCCCAATTGGTCCCGTTACCGCGATATTTTGAGATTTTTCATTTTCTACCCGTCTTTTTACCAAAAAACCGACAAATTTTCTATTTCCTCTTATTCTCAAACAATCGTATTATAAAAATGAAAAACTTGTTTTCATTTTGGCGTAAGATCTAAATCGTATATGGAATTTGCTGTAAAATTTGGTTGTTTGTAGCGTACGAGAAGGAAAGCCTAGCATTCGGGTTCTTTCTCGGCTGCCCGAAGCTGTCCGAAGCGTCGAGTTCGCGTACACGCGGTTGGTCCATGGTGTGCGTGCCGACGGAGGGGGAAATTCTCCGTGCTGTCGTCCTCGATCTGACGTCACACAGACCACTACCACCCGAAAGGAACGCAGCGGCCAACGGGGAGCAACCGAGCAAGAGCAACGGCTACAGGACAGGACGAAGAACAGTGCAGTCTCGGGCCTCGCGTCGACTACAACCGATCTCTTTCCCGCGGCACTCTCCATGCTCGACTGCTTCTTTTCGGAGCGACAAACAGCCGGCAACTGTGCGGTGTAGTGGCAACAAAATTTAGCAAAATTCCGCAAGAGCAAGGAAACGTGTACCGATGACCGTCGCGATCGACACCGCGAAATCGACTGCTGCAGGAATAGAGTAATAGACAACTGAAGAAACAGATATCCTTCGTGCATGTACTCGACTACCTCTAATCTAGCAGGTGAACGATATCCGGTCATCTGAAGCGTTTAGATTCGAACAGACGAGCGTCTTCGACAAAGAACAAGTCGAATCATTGATAACTTAATCGATAACGTGCGCGCTCGGAGGAGCTCTCAGCAGCGATGATAAAGTCTTCTCGACAGCTCGGACGTTGAATCCTCGAGAGTCTGGTCCCGTTGGAGGTTATAGCGAGCAGTTTGCAGAATGACCGATCCTAGAGTTGTTTGGGTTCGAAGGTGAGGAACGTGCGGCGCTGTCCGAACACGTTCGTGCCAGATCCTCCGCGATTTGGGGATGTCGACGCGCGCGAAGCGGACTTTACGGACGGTGAGGACGGGTGTTCGACATTGTTCGACGAGTCAGGTGTGCTACCGGAAGTGCTGATGATGAACGAGCCGGGATCCACGAGGTAGATCGAGCTGGTGATCCCAACAACAAACCTGTCCTGTGTCCGTAGGAAAGTGATCCCCTGATCGTCTACGAGACTGTTTTCTCCTTCTATCTCCGCTTCGTTCACGCTCCACTCGCCGGCGTCGTTTCGTAAGAGCTGCGACAAAGGGCTTTCTCGTGTCGCGGTGTTGCTCGACGATTTGGGAAATGTATCTAGGACCACTGACCATCGAGATAGGTAAGACGCTTTTACGATCTCCATTCACACGTTGGGTCGTGTCGGTGCCACAGTGGGACAAAACGGCTCTCGGCGATCAAAAATCCGTAACTTTGATTCTCTTGAAAATATTTTAATGAAATTTTTGGAACTTGTTCCCTATACTATGATACTTAAATTGTATTAGTATAAATCAATTTGACAGGGTGTCCAAATATTCACGTATAAAGTGTAACGCGTTCCATATCTTTCACTTGTTTGATATATTTATTGTTATGTAACCAAAGTTCGACTCAAACCTGTTATTAACTATGAGAGAAACGTATTTAGTAATTTAAAAATGACAAGATGTACGTAATAATCATAAAAGTAAGCGTACAAATGTACATACTATTTTCTGTTCGAGTCCTACTTCGTACAATCACCAATTTCTCGAAAAAGTCCACGAAGGGGTACCTGATCTTTGCAGAATCTGACAGAGGATGGTTCACCCTTTCCTGTGATAGCAATTAAACCTCGGACAAGTGCGGTTAATTTTTTATAACCATGCGTAAAGTTACAATTTTACTTAAATGTACTTCCCTCCAAGTAGTCCAAGACCCTATTATTTAAAAAGTTGTTAACATTTTGACTTACTTTATGCATTGAATACTATCTATACAAATCTAGTAAACATTATAATTCATTTGAATATCTTCTTTCTCAGCAACGTTTTTTAGAATCGTATATTAAAGTTAGGACGAATTTCAACTGCCTTTGAATGCGCACCATAGCAAAACGGAAGTAAATATCAAAAAACGGATGGTACTACATTAAACAGCAATTTATCCTTTATCGGTGTACATAAACAGTTTTTTCATTTTTCGAATTCACGAAAATCGATTTTTGATCGCCGAAAGCCGTTTCGTCCCACCGCGGTGTCGCGCGATTGCGCATCACGTTGGAAAAAACTGTTGAAGCTTCTTCAATTCCTAGTTATTTTAAAGTAATTTCTTTGAAAACGAATTGATTACTTGTTCGACCCGTAATATACGATTTTTAACATCTTATTCGATAAGTGGTTCTCAATTTGCTTCGTTAGAGCCCGGTGTCGCTAACAACGGAATAAAGCGATGAACTGAAAAGTGATAAAAAATGGAAGTAGGTCAAATATCGTTTTAAGCTTTTAAGAGGCAACGAAGCCCTACCAGATGCAAGAAGATTCAATCCGATTGGTCAATTCGTTTCGGAATAAGAAGCAATACAAAATTTTTCGGTCTTTTGCAAAAAAAAAACGGGTAAAAAATGAGAAATCTCAAAATTTGTTGGTAATGGGACCACCGCGAAGACAAGCTCTACAAGATACAATAGGTTTCATTCCGATTGGTCAAGCCGTCTCGGCGTAATCGAGTAACATACAAAAAAAAGAAAATACACATGTCGAATTGAGTAACCTCCTCCTTTTCGAAGTCGGTTAAAAACGTATACGATTATCCTAATTCGAGAAACATCGATTATAGCATTTCTATTTTTTAGAACGATTAAGGAGGGAGTCTGGTCCAGCTAATGTATTTTTCTAATGCGTATAATTTCCAGATATAATTAATTTTTGTTATTGAAACTTTTTTTACATATGAAGGGACGTTCAAAGAAGAAAATTGGACAGTGTAGATTTAATTTGAATATATACATATATAGATAAAACGGTGTGACGCATAGCCTATCGAATTTTTATCCGATTCACTTGATTCAACGCTTAAATTGAATTGAACGCTTATATTAAGTTTATATGCTAATGAACCTCGACTCTTAATGAATAATTATTATAGCATAAAGTTATTGCAAAATAACGGCGGACATGTATCGTTTATTTTCATGTTTTTTGCCGCCATTTTTGCAATTAACAATTTTTTGGGGAAATTGAGGTCCATACGCATTTTACGTACCTACTAAATAAAAAAATCGTCTCATTTTATCTATCAGATGTTTTACCAGAGCTCTACGTATTCCACCGTCTTGACCGAATTCTTTCCTTGCGACTACTATATCTATATGTATATGTACACATTCAAATTAAATCTACACTGTTCAATTTTCTCCTTTGAACGTCCCTTTATATGTAAAAAAAAGTTTTAATAACAAAAATTAATTATATCTGGAAATTATACGCGTTAGAAAAATACATTAACCAATCACTGGACCAATCTCACCCCTTAACGTTTCTCTATGAAAATCAAGAGAAATATTGTTCGAAATATGTACTTTTAGTCTACGTCAACGTAGCTTTAGTATGTGCAGTATAGGATAAAACATTTATATTAGATATTCCATAAATACCAGCATTTTTGTTTACTCATTTTTAAGTTTCTTAGCATTGAAGGTAAAGTCTGGACCTGCTTCCATTTCTTTGAAATTAAATTCTAAAGATTTTATTTTGGAGCACATTAAACGTCTGTTCTTTTCGAGAGTTCGTTCCCTTATTTACGTATAAATAATTGTTTTTCATTTTTAAATAATCGCATATTCATTTCCGGAGGCGCGGTCGTAATCGATCTATGTAATATCAGCGAGAATATAGCTAGGAGAATGAAAGGTAGTTAAACGTCTCTTTGGATTTTGCATGTGTAATTGTGGTGACAAGATGGTGCAATAGGTTCTCCCTAAGAAAGACTGCGACGACCACGTTGGCGGACGTTCAAGGACGCTGAAGGCGCCTGGCGAACAAGTTCCTGGAGAATTTACCGCCCAATCGATCAGAAAATAACAACCGAAGGAAAAATTCACGCCTTCGATGCTTACTCAGAGTTTTCCATTTCGCGAAGAATGTTTAATGGCGCCAGTTCATATTTTCGCTTTTCGTTGTCTAACTCCAAAATTGAGAAACCGAATGTCCTATGTGGTTGTTTGTATATTATAATATGAAAACACTGGAAAGATTAATTTGGTTCATCTTCTCAACGTTCTCGGCAAAAGGAAATAAAATAACTTAAATTATTGCGATATAAAACAATCTCTTGAAAGATAATGCTTCAATTAATACAATTAAAGAAAATAACATTGAAAATAAACTAACTTCGTAAGAAATTGATTGAGCAGCCAAAAGAATAGATCTCAATAATGAATAATTAGAATTAAACTTGTCCATGTCGGTCCAAACGTCGCCGATAATATAATATTACACGATCAATTTGTTCTTAAGATCAAAGAAACTTGTTGATTTGATTATCAAGACCATCGAGAATAAAAAACGATTAATCGTAGTTTCCATGGTTTTCAATCATTTTTAACAGGCGCAAGATTCAATATGGCGCCAACTGCTACAGCTCATATAAGTATCGATATTGTATGATAGTATAAACTTCGTCTTTAGGAAACAAATATTATTTTTTTGAATTTACAGAGGATGTTAATATTTTTATCTACATGTCGATGTTTTTTTTTTTTAATTCCGTAGACGAAAGGCCGAAAAATACTATTATTAGGATCCCGTCGAAGGTTGATTCGTTACTGGCTCGGAAAATTATGTTTTCGACGTTACTTATAATGAAACTTTTAACAGTTACTCGTTTTCACGTGCAAGGACACTGGCGTCAGTCGTGTGGCGTCAATAATCTTTGCATGTTAAAACTCTGCATTGTGTACATTCACGTTTTAAATGGTTTCAAGGTCGTCGAAAGCGAGCACGTTGCTCAACCATCCTTTCGAGTCTTTGCGGATGCCTTTTGTTTGCCTCGCCTTATATGAAACGCATGCTTTTTTATTCCACTTTATTTAAATTGATCATTTTCTAATCGATTCTGTTAAAATAGCGATATAGGGAAGTAATATTCTGGATACTTTAGAATGTGTTAAGGTTAACACGTTCAGACTTCAAGGTTTTTAAGAGTACACATACAGTGGGTGTAGAAAGTATTCGTACACCGATCAACTTCCAAAAAAGCTATGTAAAATTGTAATTTATTAACATATTTTTTATAAACAATGACAATCTACATATTCTCGGAAATCTCTAGAATAGATAGATTACACAAAAAATAGCTATTTATGTAAGTTGCGAAATTAACAAGAAAAAAACAACCGATAGAAATGTTGAAGCAATAATTATTCGCACAACTGTTTAATTTTTAAAACTTCATTAAAAGAAAAAAGAAATTTACATTAATTTACAAGTATATAATACTTCCTTCGTGGGATTTCCTTTTGATTTTATATTTATTGCAACTCTTGTGAGCATTAAATTAACTACATGATTAGTTGTATATTATTATAGAAGTTAGATCTTCTTCAATTCCTCTATTAGAACCTTTTTTAAAAGTACTTTACTGGAAATTTCATGTTTTCTAATTCGTACTGTACTGTACTGTACTGTACTGTACTGTACTGTACTGTACTGTACTGTAAATGGTTCGTCATAAGAATCGTACAAATACTTATTGCTTCTATACTTTCACCCACCTTTCGCATTTTTTTGTTAACTTCACAAATGATATTAACTAGTAAATGTTATTTGGATTATATCTATCTTAGAGACTTCCGAGAATATGTAAAATATCAATGATTATAAAAAAAACAGTTAAGAAACTACAATTTCGCAGAAAAGTTTTTTGGGAAATTGATCGGTGTACGAATACATTCTACACCCACTGTAATAATAATTTCCGAACACCTTCCTAGTGCCTGATACTTGGAATAAAAAATGAAAAGTAGTCGATCTTTCGAAAATTTCTCGAGGAAAATTTATATTCGATATTTGTTCTAGTGTTTCGAGGAAAAGCAATCGCTCTACCATATCGCGCGATTTCGACCTTTACGGTAATACTGTTTCACGTGAACAGGAGGGGTGTGCTGGGAAGGTACACGAGCGTGTATGTATATGTATATCAGCACGTCCGAAAAGTGTCGTAGAGGGGTGCGAGAACGGCTGACAGCTGTGCAGAGCGTGGAAGCAACCGTTTCCTTTCTCGGTTCCACGCCACGCCACACCATGCCACGCCGGGACACACACGGAAAGCAACGCGGCCGCAGTGTGGCGAACGGACAAC